TCCGGGAATACTTGAAATAGACCTAGTCGAGCACTAAAGCGCAAAAGCTGTCCCTCAGATAATTTTTCGGATATGGTCATTCCTGAAAAAGTGTTCACCTTTTATTTTTGCTAACTCACAACTGTAAACGCAAACTTGACATTTTGAATCATGGCTTTGTTCTCTTCAACGATTTACCGTGACCTCCCGTCACATTCTGTGTCATTTCCAAATTAATTTAAATCCAACATTAATTAAAAATGTTAATGTTGAGTGATCAAATACGACAGCCTTGTTTTCCTAGAACTTTCGGCGCTTCATGTGAGTGAGCTATCGTAAAAGCACATTAGCTGCTCTTTCTTATACACTCAAAGAGGTAATTACGAGTAATTATGGATTTAAAGAAAAAGAAAACTTAATTTCAGATTGAAAACCAGAAATTGTGAAGAGAGTAGATTGTTTTGACAAGAACAGAAAAGATTTAGATGGTGATTGGCTTGAAATGTGGACCTTCTTGCTAGTCATCTTATGTGCAATTATTCCCTATCTCTAAAAACATCCCTAAAAAAGTTCTTAGGTAAATATTTGTTGGTAAATCTTACGGTAGGTGTTCTTCTCATCGCCATTCCCAGATTAGTCTTCTCTGACGCAGTACAGCCTATTTGGGTGAGGAGGCCTAACGTCGTCTTTTCAGCATGGACTCTGAAAAATAGCCAAACTATTTCAAGTTCGATTTGCGAATTGCACGGGAGACCACGTGGTTTGCTCTATCAAAACATAAGTTTATAATTTCTCTATTGGTTTTTGAGAAACTTAGAATTAGGATTAATTTCAATAATTATGTATGAATATTATTTGACAGGAAAAAATGTCGTACTCTTAAATGCGTCTATGCCTTTAAACCATAAAATTGCGTTTAATTCTTGGTTACTTTTTCTAGTTAATTTGTGATTTTCTAGATGGTCCCATAGTTCAAATTAATTCAACAGCTCAATCATGACTAATCTTAAATTCAATTTTCCATTTATCGCATAGTTCGTGTTCGCTAAAGTTCTTCAGTGAAGAAAGAAAAAGCAGTGACCTAATGGAATCAACGTCAAAACCTGCTATGATACTTTTGCGATTTCCAACGAAGAAAAAAGATCGCTGCAAAGTAATGCCAAAAGTACAACGTTGCAAATCTCCGTTTGCAAAAGTCTTTCTTACTGTACTAATCTTTTTTCATTGTTTAATTGCACTATCCTCTTACAGTCCGCATATGGTACAATCAAATTAACCTAAATAAAAGGAAAAAAAAGAATTGATTGACACACTTATAGGGAATTCAAATAAATAATAAAGGTGTCCAAGTATAGTTCAAATTTTAATAGTTTTTTCCTCACTCTCAGCTATTGATTTATAAACTTTAACTGTAAACTACGATGTTTTTCCTTTATTTCTATCTGTCCCCTCCTTCCTCTTCCACAGCCCCTTCCCCCTCTTATGCTCATTTATAACTGAAGTCAAAGTGATTCTAAAATCGGCTGCGCCAATTTGTTGCGATCCTTTTACGCATTCCCCGAATCGTTATGGTTTCAAGCCAGATTCCCTAGCGAAAGAAATGTTGAGTTCAACTTCATTTACGATCTTGTGGAAGAATAGTAAATTTTACGGCTTTACAGCTAGTCTCTATTTCGCGATGGTCGTTGAAATCGCTATTTTTCGTTAAAAACTGGATTGTTTGTTATCAAGGCGAGTTAGGTGCCCAGTTCTATTCCAACTGGGCAGGAAATACCTTATAGTAAAAATAACTTGATGTAAGGTAAGCTAAATGTTTTATTGCTTAAGAATTGCGAGGATTGGTTGAACAGGAAAAGCATCAAAAAAGCAGAAAAAATTCTTCATATCCAATTTTTCCTTGCAACCTGCACAGATTGCTCCTCCCTTCATCTTTTCTCTGCCACTTCAAATGACCGATGGTCCTTGTTGATTGATAATCTCAGAAGGTAGCCGTATTTCTTCCAAGCTGGTCCGTCCAGATGTGAAAACAAAGCGTGTGCAGCCTTTTGTGAAAAGCACAATGAACTGTTCCTCATCCCTTTGTTGAAAGTTTTCTCTTTTATTAAAAGTTTTATCACTCTGAACCCCACCCTTCGATTTTTCCACATCTCTGTGACCAACGTCAACAGGAATTAGTTTCTTAGCAGAAAGGAAAAGCCTACATCAGCAAGTTTTGCCAGCAGCTGATTGAGAGTGGTTCTGATTTGAACTTTTGCGACTTTATTTCTATATATACCTTATACGAAAATCGCTGTGAAGGTAAGGCAGCTTGTAGACAAGTAGCGTGAAAGAAAAAGCTTATAGAGCAAAATCATAAGAAATGCTGCAATAAAAAAGATAAACAAGGCAGGGTCACGCTTCTCCCTCTATTCTAAACTTGGGACCACGTTTCTTATGGCTCACTTGAGGACCTTTCTAGAGAAAAGCACAAAAATGTACCATAATACATTTTTTTATCTTTCGAATTTTTGTCCCTTTATCTACCGCCTAGTTTAGAAATGGTTAATTATGACTTTCTGTAACCATGTTTGGCACCTATCCAAAAGCAGCCATTGTCTTTTTGATAGACTTTAGCCACTTTCAAAATTTCTATTTTAAGGTGAGCACTTGACAGTATCTTCTCTGAAAAAGCATAATCCAATATTCTGCGCCCTGCTCTTATCATATATAAATGGAAATCCGATCTTATGCTCACTGCACTGCAAGAATCTCGTTTCCGGAAACAGGTTTATTGTTACGCTGTTGTAAATCTGCCATATATACGTATAGAAATCATTTGTCATTTAATTTTATGTTCATCAAACTATTCCGGCATGTTTGGTTGATTTGGAAAAAAAGGGCTTATTTACTTGCTTGCCCTGTTCCTTCTAAATGACCTTCAGATTGTCAGAAAATTTCGTTTCGATGACTGTCGACTCAAATGTGCAATAAATCAGAAAGGGTGTTGCCTTCCGGAAAAGAACAATTAATTTTACTTTGTTGCAACTTATGAGTTTTGACTTTCCACCTGGACAATCCAACGCTATTTTCCGGTACAAAGGTTCCTTTTATCACGCACCCCATCCAAACTACAAA